CAGTGGCTTAAACATAATAAAAGCTCCATTTCTCACTAATTGTCTTAATCTATCAGGCTGCTATAACAGAGTACCATAGACTGGGCAGTTTAGAAACAACAGAAGAGTTTTAGAAGTTTAGAAGCCACTGAACTACTTTTGCACCTTAGCTGAAAATCAACTGACCAAGTATGTGTAGGGGTTTTTTTTGAACTATTTTGTTCCATGAATCTATTTGTCTCTTGTGGTCACCACCACCATACTTTCTCGGATATTGTAGCTTTACAGTAAATCTTGAAATCAGGTAGCCTCCTGCTGTCTTATGGAGGTGGAGGGAGGGAGGGTGGGCAGACCTATGAGTACTGAGAGTGGAGAATTATCTTAATAACTCTCCTGCATCCTGTCTCCCAATACAGAGGTCTCCAAATGGAGGTGACTGGGCTCAAAATGCAGATGTAATTATAAGCATGGCTGGCGTGGGGGAAGGCCTGAGTTCTTGACTGCAACTTTCTGCTGAGACTGCAGTTCACTGCCCATGCTCTACATCTGGTGTGAGTAGGGCAGCTTTCCTGAGGTCTGCTAGGCAAAGCCTTTGCAATTGCCATGGTCAGGCCCACAAGATAAGTAAGATTTTGGCCTGGAACAGGACTCCTCAGTTTTGGGCTATAGCAGGTTCTTTGCATTTGTACTTGAGTTTTAGAATAAGCTCACCAATTTCTACCAAAAAATCCTGCTAGAATTTTCATTGAGATTGTGTTGAATCTATAGATCATTTTGGAGAGAAATGGCATTTAACAATACTGAGAGGCTTTGGATCCATGAACATGGTATAGCTCCACTTTTTTTTTTTTTTTTTAAGGTCTTTTAACATTTCTCTTAGCAATGTTTTGTGTTTTGATGTGCAGGCCTAACACATCTTTAGTCAGATACAAATTTTAAACATTTTTGATGCTAATAAGTAGTATTTTAAAAATTCTGATTTCCATTTTTTGTCTCATAGAAATACAATTGATTTTTGCATATAGATTTTGTATTGCAATGTTGTTAAACTAACATATTAGCTCTAGATTTTCTGTAGATATCATGAAATTAACCTAAATTATGTAGTATTAATTTACCTGACAGGCCGCACAGGGATTATAAGGGGAAAGCTGATGACCACTCCCCTCCTTTTTGTTTTTTTCTGCCATAAAACATTTGATAAAATTGTCAACTCAATATCTTAGCAGGCAAACTCTTGCTCTTTGAAACTGTAGTAGCAGGGAAAATGGCTGGAGTGAATCTCTGGGTCAATGAGAGAGTATTGACTTCTTCCTGTCTCTAGCAAAGTACTTCAATAAAGATGAACTCAGGTAAAAACTAGTCATTTTGTTAACAGAGCTGGAAGGAAATAAAGCTATGCTAAGATTGGAGTTCTCTGCCTGTAGTCTGCAATACAAACGGACTGAGTGGTGATTCAGGTCTTCTAGTTTTGATGAAGCCAAGTGCTATTACACTTCCGATAGCAGAAGATAAAACTGTGACCCAAGGCACTTCTCAAAGGCCATCAGCCAAGTGTTCTCTGCTGGACAATGGAAGCCAAGCAAGGAACAGAGGTCACCTTAAGGCACTGCCTTCCTAGATATGCCTGCCGTTTTTGCTGGCTGTAAGCATATGGCCATTAAGTTAGTAGATACAGGAGACATGAGACATGAGACAGAGTCTAGTAAATAAACCTGAAGAGTAGTTAGGCATGAGAAATATGACTAATTGATATCTGTATCCGTGGTTATTTGTGAAAGGAACTATACAAGAAACAAATGGATATGAAATCCATTCAGTATCTTTAAAAATTGAATTGACAAAGAAGCTATAAGCCTAGCTTGCCAATGTCTGTGTCTATCTGATCCTACTAAAGTAACCCACAATCCCTCAAAAGCGCACCAGTAAGAAACCGGATATAAACGGATGTGTAGCCTCTCATGGAGCATGTTCATCATGGATCACGGGTAAGAACCTACCAGTGGGTAGACTACCTTCAGATGCAACAAAGAAGAGAGTTCCTCCTGGTAAACAGAACTGGGGTCTAACCAAGAATTTACTTCACTACCTTTGCAGTCTAATCTCCTCTTCCAATTTGTTTAGACAAAGAACTGCTATTTTGTCCTCTTTTTCCAAATTGGTGTTCGTGACCGACTTCACCACTGCATACTGGCTGTGTGGGGAAGGGAAAGGGGATGAAGAGTTATATCCAGACTTGTAAGGGACTGTACATCTTTAGATCATGGACGCTGAGCTGAATCCAGTAACTGCTTGGAACTTTGGGTTTTTCTTTCTTTAAATAGGGTGTGTCCTATGTGTCAGAAGGGTATCCATGGATATTTGAGGGGCCACAGGAGTAGATTGTGACACTGTTATCCAAAGTACATTCTTGTCTTATTATTAGAACTGCCAAGTATCCAAGTATTAGTTGGACCCAGTCACTCTGCAAGAGAACCTCATCTCCCACCTTCCCAAGTTAGATGTGGCTGTCAGATCAGCAGTGGCATTAGATTTTCATTTGAGGATAAACCCTATTGTGAACTGTGCATGTGAGGGATCTAGGCTGCACACACCTTATGAGAGGCTAACTAGGCCAGGCACAGTGGCTCATGCCTGTAATCCCAGCACTTTGGGAGGCCGAGGTGGATGGATCAAGGTCAAGAGAAGCTAACTAATCCCTGATGATCTGAGGTGGAATAGTTTCATCCTGAAATCATCCCCCACTTCCCCTTCCCCATCTGTGGAAAAACTGTCTTCCATGAAACTTGTCCCTGGTGCCAAAAAGGTTGGGGACCGCTGGATTAGACGGAATGCCTGAAGAAAAGGAAGTCCTAGTGGTGAAAATGGCATCATTGAAGACAGAAATGTTCAATTCTTTCCTCAAAAATCCAAAGAAACTCAATGTAACTTTTCTTGCAACTATTCTGGTAAATGAGATGAAAAACCCTTGTTTTTGAAATAAGATATACCTGTTCTTTTAAAAATGCTTATTCATTTATAATTATAAAAGTAACAGCCATTGGAACACTTGAGAACTTTGTAACAAAGAACGCTTAAGGAAGTTTAAAGAATGAAAATCAGTAGAATCACACTACCCTGAACAACAAAAAAATTTCATTTTTTTTCCAGTTGTTCTTCAGAGGGTGTGCAACTGGGAGTATATGTATTTTCACATATACTACATATATATTCACACACAGTTACTTCTGTTGTACTTTTTCATCTAACATCAAAATTAAATAAGTACTTTTTTTGAGACAGGATCTTGCTCTGTTGCCCAGGCTGGAGCACAGTGGTGTGATCATAGCTCACTGCAGCCTCTACCTCTCAGGCTCCAGCGTTCCTCCTGCCTCAGTCTCCCAAGTAGTTGGGACCACAGGTGTGCCCCACCACACCACCATGCCCAGTTACTTAAAAACATTTTTTTTTTTTTGTAAAGATGGCATCTCAAACTCTTGGCCTTAGGCAATCCTCCTGCCTCAGCCTCCCAAAGTGTTGGGACTATAGGCATGAGCCATCATGCCAAGTATTTCTTCACACGAAACATTCTTCAGTTCTTAGTTGCAGAGTGTTTCTGGCATGTGAAACTTCAAACAACCACAAAACACAGAAAAACAAATCAGTATGTATCAAAACGCAATAAGTGAAAAACACAAAATATTTTGACAGAATGACTATTTTTTCAGACCCTTAACAGTGACCAGGCCTTCACGAACCTAGAAGGGACTCCTGGGGGGTGTTTTCATGAAAGGACAGTGGAACCTACTTGGTATAGCCTCATAGCAGTAACAAACAGTTTAGGCATGATTTTGCCCAGGAAAAAGACAAATTACAAAATCAAAGCTAGACTCTTTTAAATGTTGTATGCCTGGCAACACACTGTATTTACACAACAGCACTGCTAATCCTCCTGCCCTCCTTACATTACAGTGGAGACCACATGAAAACAGAGTGGCAACTAAACCCATGCAGGAAGCTGGGTCAAAGCCTTCTTTCTGTGGGTGCTAACTTGAAGTTCCTTTCCTTATCTGAGATGACCAAAACACCTGTGTTAACCCAAAGTCTCACACAGATAACTCCCGAGTCAATCACCTGGCTCTAACCACTTTACCTTCAGTGTGAGAATTTGTCACAGGAACAAATGTCATTGCGTTTGATTTCAGAAACAAGAATGATCCAACAGCACCATGAAGTTCACCTACAATTCCTTAATCATGCTGTTGGTGCTTTGCTCCCGTATTGTGCATACTGCAAAATGGGCCTGAAGCAAATTTATCTGTAAATACATAACATTGAATTCATCTCGCCTATTTCGTGCTTTTGAGAACTGTGCTTAGTTTTCACTTTGGACGAATAGAAACCCTTCTGATGACCGTCATGGCAATGTCGCCAATAAAAAAGGACAGTCTAGCTGGCTGCAAGGCAGGTCCACTTCTGTCGTACTGGGGAATGCTGAACTGCAAAGTCAGGGAGACACGGCAAGAACTTTAAAATCAAACCCCAGCCCCAAGAGCTCGGCGCTGTTTTTTGGCCTCTGCCGCTTCACGTACTTGGTGCGGCAGGAGGGCACTTATTCTCTGCCCCAGAACTTCGTCCCGAGCGGAGAGCCAGAGGACCTCGCTGGGCGTCACCCCCCTGCAGGGAAGGAACACGCCCTCGGTGACAGCCGGTACGACTCCGGCCTTGCGCAACTTCGATTCCGGGAGGCCGCCGGCCCGGTCAGTAGCGTCCTGCGCCCGCCCGCGCCCCAGCTGCCCCCCGTTTCCAGCCGCGGACCCTCCTTTCAGCCGTTCAGGCGGCGACTCCGCTCTTGACCGCGCAGTCCCCCACCACCGCCCCTCGGCTAGTGCTCTCCCATGCTCTCGGCCTCCCGGAGGGCTCGCCAACTCCTCCACAGCCTCATTCCAGTCCCAAGGATGGGCGACTCGGCAATGAAGATCGTCAGCCCCCAGGAGGCCTTACCGGGCCGGAAGGAGCCGACCCCAGTGGCGGGTAAGCACCGGCCAGGCGGAGGGCGCTGGCGGCGACACTGCGCATGCGTGCCTGTACCCCAGGGCCGCGCCCCCCCTTCACTCTCCCCACACCCGCTGCCCGGAAGGAAGCCGCGGGCGGGCCTCGGGCGGGTAGCCGGTCTGCGCAGGCGCGAAGGGGCGCCGGCCGGGGCAGAGGTGACCCTGGGCTCCACTGATGTTCCTTTGTCTTTGGTATCTCATCCTGTGGAACTAAACCGGGCACTTTGAAGGAGTCCCGTGCGTCGGTCACACTCACCTGGAGTGCAGATATCCTGGCGGTCCCACGTTTTGGGCAGGAAAGGCGCCGCTGGGGTCCGCCCTTGCTCGCTGGGGTCCGCCCTTGCTCGCTGGCTCCAGTGGCGCTGTTCTACGCCCTCCTTTCTTGTCTTTTCTGCGCTGGCCGCCGGGACAGGACACCTGCAGCAGGGTTGGTGCGAGTGTTGTCCCGGGAAGCTCCGGCATGAGACGAGACGATGAAAACCTTAAATGTGGAACTGCGTCTCAGGCCGGTGTTCTGGCTGCAAGAGTCACCCCCAGATCTCCCTCTTGCGCTAGGTCGGCCCGGCTGTCCCCAGCGGGCAAGGGCTGCTGTGCGCTGGGTCAATTTAAATTGGTGCTCCTCAAACTTGGAAAACTTTCTAGTTATTCTCACTCCAATACCTGGGGAAAATACAATAACGGTGAAATTTTAGAAAAATGTTCGCATGATTCGATGCCATGTAATGGTAAACTGTAAAAGTTTAAAAAAGTCGTTCATCCCAGCACTTTGGGAGGCCGAGGCGGGTGGATCACGAGGTCAAGAGATCGAGACCATCCTGGTCAACATGGTGAAACCCCGTCTCTACTAAAACTACAAAAAATTAGCTGGGCATGGTGGCACGTGCCTGTAATCCCAGCTACTCAGGAGGCTGAGGCAGGAGAATTGCCTGAACCCAGGAGGCGGAGGTTGCGGTGAGCCGAGATCTCGCCATTGCACTCCAGCCTGGGTAACAAGCGAAACTCTGTCCCAATAAAAAAAAAAAAAAAAGAAAAAAAAAAAAAAGTCTTTCAATGTCTGCTGCATATAGCACTGGGTTCCCAGTACGAGGGCCATAAGTTAGTATTACCTTAGTGCGGCGCTTCTCAAAAGTGCCCTCCACCCGCAGCAGCAGCATCCACTCGGGGTGGCCTCCCCCCATTACTGAATCAGAGACTCGGGGGGTGGAGCCCAACAAGCGCCCAAACTAGTCCTCCAGGTGATTCTAATGTAGGCTGTAGCTTGTTAACCACTGCCTTAGAGTTGTTGGAGGATTAAGTGATGTTTAATCTGCTACACATGGCTCAATGCCAAAGAAATTCAGCGTTTAAAAATTTTTCTAGGAAGTTTCTTTTTCTTTTCCTTCAAGAATTGTTGAGGATAGGAGGAGGTCCTATTGAGAATTTGTCATTCTCGTAGAATAATCAGTATGAGATTAGAAAAGGTAGAGTTTTTTTGGATTAGAGGTAGTTTAGAAATTGTGTGACTTGTTTATTATTAATCGAATTGGCAGTTTCTATTCCCTGGTTTCCCCATCATTTCACCTTCAACTCAGCCGTAGGGGTTTATTTTTTATTCAAATTCAGAGATTGAGTTTTGAAACAAATCTAGATTATTAAATATGTATACTTATATATAGATATATAAAATATAACCAGATTATCTTATAATTACATTTATACCTCATAAATGTATCTTAATTTTTTTTTTCTTTTACAGGCAGGTATTTCTAAGTGTATGTTTAAAGGCAACACTTTTCAAATGCTAAACTTCCTCAGCTTGTGCTATACTTCCTGTTCACACACTACTGTGCCTTTGCTGTGCTCTCCCAGACACCAAAAAACCAAATAATCCAAAAACTCTTCTTCAGATTTCCAAACTGGTTCAAGGTCAAGAATGACCAAAATTTACTTTGGCTTTATCTTAACGAAAGGCTTCCCAATCTGTTTCCTAATATGTAAATGAGATTTGGGGTAAAAGATTAGCAAACATTTCAGAAATGAGCCAACAGTTTTTTTCATATCCCCACCATAACTTTAACTGCAAAACCTCAGGACCTGGTTCCTTTCCAGGTTCTGCTGTCTTCATATAGCTTTGAGTGTTTTTGGTACACCGACACATCTCTGTATCTGGGCCAGTAAACTGCTTTTTTTTTTGGTGTAGGGCCAAGCCTACAATGCATATGTTCTTATTGTTCATCTGTTGTAACTTTTTCCACAAAAAGTGTTTAAAATTTAGATTGTGGACATTCCAGTCTCCACTCCGGAGCCTTGACAGGTTGCTGAAAGCCCTGACTGGCTCCAGAAATGGGCAGTGTTATTTCTTCATCGGGTTTCAGTGGCTATAAACTTGAAACTTAAGGAGTTAGCAGTATGGTTTTGAATGTTAAATTCACGTCTACTGCAACTTGCATCCTGTTTCTCAACTCCTCCTTTCTCTGTATTACCACCATTATTTGTACCCTGACTCTCAAAAGTTGCGTGACAAAAGCATTGCCTTTTGATTTGAGAAGGCCTGTCTCCTTAGTGCCTTTAAATCAGCCTAGTATCAGGTGTGTGCTATTATCAAATCCTTGTGGTTTTAAGTGTTATCATCTTAGCATTCATCCTACCATTTTTATATCCTTAAGGAAAATTCCACCCTTTTACAAACTGTGGCCTACTTACAGATTTCCACGTTGAAAGAAGGAAAGAGTCAAACCTTCAAACTTTTTCAATGTTTAATTTTTCCCAGCCTACCTAAAATGGATCAAAACATGAACAGGCCTACTTGGGTGAGTGGTGAAAACAGAACCTGCCCTGGACTGCCTCATTTCCAGCCTGCTCTGTTCAGGTTAGGGGGCATCTGGGCAGCACTGGCTGGCTGATAGGGTACATGACAATGTGTTTTCCCTATATGTGGAGGTGGTCTCATTCTGCTTCAGTGCCTGGCCACCAAGCAATACTTTGAGAACTTGGGACGGAGGGACAAGGGGAATTCATACTTGTTGAACTGTATTGGTATTGTATTGTTGAAAATAGACTGGAGGTGGAAGGCTTATAATTAAAACCCCAGAGTGCCTTCCATTTTGTTAAGTTGTGGGTTCCTTACAGTCAGAACTGATCTTGTTTCCAATGAATTGCTATAATTATTGTAAAAGCCCAATATAGTTTGGCTGTGTGACCTCACCTAAGTCTCATTTCGAATTATGATTCCCACGTGTTGGAGGAGGGGCCTGGTGGGAGGGGATTGAAACATGGGGGGTGGACTTTGCCCTTGCTGTTCTCATGAGAGTGAATGAGTTCTCACGAGATCTGATTGTTTAAAAGTGTGTAGCTTCCCTCTTTGTGCGCTGTCTCTCTCTCTTGCTCCAATGTATGAAGATGTGCCAGCTTTCCCTTCTGCCATGATTGTAAGTTTCCTGAGGCTTACCCAGCCATGCTTCCTGTACAGCTTGTGAAACCATGAGCCAATTAAATCTCTTTTCTTTATGAATTACCCTGTCTCAGGTAGTTCTTTATAGCAATGTGGAAACAGACTAACACAAAGCCCAACTTTTATTTTATGTGGAACTTGTTTTTGCATATTGCATTAGGAAATGTTGCTAATCTGTGTTTGGGATTGAATCTTACCTTCTTACATAGTATAGGTGGGATTAGGTGTTTGGGATTTGGAGTTGTCATTTAAAATAACTTTGGCAAATTCGATTCAGTCTTGGCTTTCTTGTGTTTATGTTCTTAGTGTTCATTGTATTTGTTGTTATATTGCTTTTTTGGGGGCACTAATAGATGTTAAAAACGGGTGTAGAACACCATCAGAAGGTATCCTCTTCTAAGAATTTTAAATATAAATAGAAAAAACAGTAGGACAATGTATTAATCCAAAAGGTGACTCTTTGGAAAAAAAAATTGAACTACACCAATAGTATTTATAAACAATGAGCTCGTCTCAAGAATAAAAGGAAGAAAGTACAAATATAGAAAATAAGACCTGAGAAAAGGAAATCATAAAAACAGAATTTAAAGAATAGGAGACTATTGAACTCTTTGAAAATAAATTTTAAAACTTTGATGAAAATAATTTTTAGGAAATATAATTGATCCAGTCTGACCCTAGAAGAGGTAGAAAATCTAAGCAGCTTGATTTTTATAGAAGAAATAAAGTTGCCCAAGAGTTAACTCCTCCCAAAGCATTATGTCAGTTTCACCGGGAGTATCTACTGAATATTTAAAGAGCAGATAATTCCAGCATAGGAATAAATTGCTATTTCTTCTATTTCAGCCCAAAGGCCCATTTTAGGCTGAATTTAATGAAGAAACATTGAGATTTCCACTGATAGTCAAACAAAGGCAGAGCTCAGCCTAGTATCTTGTGTCAGGTATGCACTGTTAGTTTTTTTGGTGTTATCTGAGTTTTGATCCACGTTTAAAAAGAAATCCTACCTTTTTTATATTCTTAAGGAAACTTCCACCTTTTTATTAAGCGCTATCTAGTTGTTGATGTATACTTTGTTAGAAGGTAAGATTCAAACCTTTAAACTTTTTATGTTTAATTTCTCCCAGGCTACCTAAATTGGATTATAACATGAATTGGCCTACTTTGACTGATGGGTTATTATTTTACATTATTTTACATTGTATTGTAGATACAGCCAATATGGTAAGACAAGGTAAGGCAATTTGAAATGTACAAAAGAGGAAAAAGGATCAGAAGTTCTGAAATACATATGGGAATGTAGCATTTGATAAAGGTGATATCTCAAATCAGTGGGGAAAAGGTGAAATATTTAATAAATGATGTTGGGACAACTGGGTAGCCATATGGAAAAAAAGGTTGGATCTCTACACCGTAAACCAGGATAAATTTTAATGTTTGATGGAATAAATTCCAGATATATGATGATAATAGCTTACACTTGTTAAGTGTCTTATGTGCCAGGGACTGTAGTAATTTACTTTTAATCCTCAAGTAACCCAAAGAAGTAGTAACTATTATTATCACCGCTTATGGATGTGGAAACTGAGGCCCATAGATGTTAGGCAGTTCATCCAATGTACATTGCTGATAAGTAGTGGAGCTGGGATATGAACCTAGTCAGTTTGGCTATAGAGTTTCTGGGCTTAACTCCTATACTCTTTTTCCGTTTACATAATTGTAAGACGAAACAAAGTATGAGAATAGAATGTATTTATAATCTGGGTGTGAGGAAAGCCTTTCTTAACCTTGACTTGAAAATCAGAAAACATAAAAGACTAATAAATTAGATCATATCACGGTAAAAATCTTCTGCATTGCAAAAATCGCCATAAGCAAAGCCATAAGACAAATTATGGTAAATAGTTGCAATTCGTAGGTGAAGGAGCAATCTTTTTAGTTATATAAGAAGCTTCTAGAAATTAATAAGAAAAACGCTATCCATTAGAAAGATAGACAAAGGTTATGAACAGACCGTTTACAGAAAAGGAAGTACAATTGGCTCTTAAGCATATAAAAAGATGCTCAACTTCACTCATAATGAGGAGAAGGCAAATGCCATTTTTCATTTTTCAGACTGACAAAAATCTGGAACTTTGATGATACACTGTGTTGGTAAATTCTAAAGGAAAAAGGCACTCCTCTACATAGCTGGCAAGAGTATAAATTGACTCAACTCCTGTGGAAGGCAATTTGGTTGTATCTATCAAAAATTTAAATGCATAATACCTTTGACCCAGAAATTTCTGGGAATTTATCCTCAGGATGTAACTTCCACGCATGCCAATGATGACTACCAGGTTATTCACTGCAGCTTTGTTTGCAATAGCACAAGGCTGGAAACAACCCAGATGCCTATCAATAGGGGCTAGTTAAATAAATTATGGTTCATTGTCACAATGGATATGCAGCTGTAAAAGAATGTGGAACATCTGTATGAATGGGTATGGAGGGATTGCCAAGATGTTGTGTTAAGTGGAAAAAGCAAGGTCTGAACAGTGCAGATGGATAGTATGCTAACATTCCTGTGAACAGGAGGGAAAACAATGTGTATGTATAGAGAAACTTTGAAATGATAGCTAAGAAACTAATAGCTGGGGAGGGGGATATGTGATGAGATGAGGATGGATGGAAGACATAGACGTTTTACTTCATGCTTTTTTGTAACTTTTGCTTCTTGTAATGTGACTGCATTTGTGAATTAACTCCACTTTGAAGATGATCTGTCTTGCTGTTTTTAGTATAATTGACCACCTTTCTGTCATCTTTTGTCATACTTATTTCAAGTTTTTTTTTTTTTTAATTTTGCTCTTTTTCTTGTCAAGTACATCTTTTTTTCTCCAACTTGCTTTTGTAATCAAAATCTACATTTTGGCATGATTTAAAAATCTAAATTTAGAGAGTGAAATTGGAATAAGTTAATCCAAGTCATTTTACATTTCATAAATATTCATTTTTATTGAAGCATCAATTGTGGTGGCATCATTTATACAAAGAACAGATCTTTGGGGACAAATTCCTTCCACTATTATGTCGAAGGCATTATGTGTATTTTATTGTGAGTGATGTACATTGATTTTTTTCAAAGAAAATGATCGAAAACAGTTCTCCTTTTAGAAAAGTTGTCCCCAATGTGTGATTAATTTCTAAATTGTAGGATACAGAACTGTTATTTCTCCTCTTTTCATCCTGCCCATAGCTCTTTGATTTTACAGCCTGTTCCAGAATGTTTAGTGTTTCCCTGAAGTCCCAGGGATGAGGGTAGTCCATACCTCCCTCAGTGTGATCCTTACCTACTTCTCCAGTCTCTTCTCCACTGTTTCCCTCTAGAACCCCATGTCTTGCGTAACGTGTTTCACTCTTCTGCCTCTGCATTGCTCACATGACTATACCCATAGTGTGGATTACATACTCTGATTGTTTTACTTATTCATTCATTAAATGTCTATTAAATACCTGCTTAGGAAAGACCTGTGTTGTCCGTATATCCTGATCTTCAAGGAAGTATCCTTGAAATTTGCCTCCTCTAATTTCATTTCTCCTGGAAACCTATCCCTTTTCTTTCCAGCCTAAGTGATCCCTTTCTTCTCTACTAGACAAATAGCCATGTACTACTTTATGAATCCTTTCTATGGCATCTTGCATTGCTATTTACATGTTTCGTTGCCTGGAACTTGCACAATCTATGTCTTACCTCCCCACATGGGGAGCTCACAACACTTTACCAAGAGTGCTGCCTACACTAGGCAGTCAATAATGGTTTATGGATATTGGGAAGAATATGGTTAATGCCTGAGAACAAAGACCAGAAATGTGGTCTTTTCATGTGACTGTCACAATACCGAGAAGTTAACAGAGCTGCCCCATTGCCAAATGGAAATGTATGTGATAGGAGTGGATTATGTTAGCTGTGTCAGTTTTCCAGTAAGCCACTGGGTTGTCATCAGGCAGCAGTTCCACCATTTCCACTGGTGCCTGTCTCCTTACCACATTTTAAGCTAAAAGAGGTAAGAAATCAAAAGGGTAAGAGTCTGTCCATGTCTTGGCTTTGCTTCTCTCATGCTTCCAACCACCCTCATTTGAAACGTACATTTTACCTTGTGAAATTTCCGCCTTTCCATTTCCAAATACTTAGGAGATGTGTAGGTCCTGCTGTAACCCTGAACTCAGCTCTAAAACCAAACTTACTGTTTTGCTTTCAAAAGATTGATTGCATATTTTAATTTCCCAACTTCTGTCAGCGGCATGCTCTCCTCTCACATCCCAGAAGACTCTTTCAGGGTCATCTTTGAGCCTTATCTCTGCATTCCAGATGTCCTTCCTTCCATGAGTCCTGAGGACTTCTTGCCTTCATTGGTCTCTGGTCTGTCTTTACTCTCTCCTGCCTGAGCTGTCCAGAGCATCATTATCGACATCTACCTAAAATTAGAATTTCATTCTCTCACTGCTTAGGAAACAGCAGCGACTCTGACCTGTCCAATAACACTTTTCAGTGCTGGACACTTTCTGTAGTTTGCTGCTGGCCTCAGCATTCCAGATCTCCACTTCCACCCTGAGTCTGGCTCCTGCTCTGAGCTCCTTCCTCCTAGGTTGTTATGGTCTGAATGTGTATGTGCCCCTACCAAATTCCTGTTGAAATCCTCACCCTCAAGGTGATAGGTGATGGGATTAGTAGGTGGTGGCTTTGTGAGGTGATTAGTCATGAGGGTGGAACCCACATAAATGGGATTAGTGCCCTTATGAAAGAGACCCCAGAGAACTAGCTAGTCTCTTTGGCCATGTGAGGATGCTTTGAGAAGGCATCGTCAGTGAACCAGAATTTGGGTGCTCTCTAGACACCAAACCTGCCAGCACTTTGATCTTGGACTCCAGAGCTGTGAGTCTCCAGAGCTGTGAGAAAGAAGTTCCTATGGTTGATCAAGTGCTGGGTTATGGTAGATTGTTACAGCAGCCTGACGGACTGACACAAGATGTTTTTTTTCTTGAAGGCTTGTTGAAAACATCTTGGGCCTTTCAAGGCTAAACTCAGCTTTTTCTACTTCTGTGCTGCCCGTTGGGGCTGTTTCGCTTGGATTGCTCTTAGCATTGGAGCTGGAAGTAGGGCTTTGGGACTCTGTTTTGTGCTCATTCCAGTCTCTCCTTGGGGAAATGAAGGTTGAATCCCTTTTGTATATTTGGTGCTCAGTGGTAGTCATTTTCCTTACTATGTTTTCTGAACTCCTACCCTGGTTATAGAGCCTGCTGGCATGATCAGAGCGCTCTGATTCCAGCTGCTTTCTCCTGGCTATCCTATCAAAATGCTCTTCCTGTTCGGTGAAATACTTGATGACTGACTCATGATGCCAAATGCTTGATTTCTCCTTCACTAGAGACCTGCATGTCCCTTGGGTCAGCTGGTACCTTTTCTGTAAGCTTGGCCTCTTATGAAAGGGAACATAGGCTATTGCCCAATGTTAAAAAAAAAAAAAAAAAAAAAAACAACATGGTTTCTTGTATTTCTGTAGGAATTTTGTATCCTTTCATGCAAGTGCATCTATAGTGTTTCTCAGCAGGGTATATTCTGATCCACTAACTTGTTGAACAAGTGTATTAAATTTGCATTATAATACAACAAAGACTGGTAATGAAACTGGAAGAAATGTGGCGACAATATATTTAGACGATTATATCATAATTACATTGAAAAAAATGAAGCATAAAATGTAGGAACATCAGATGTCTTCCCAGAGCATATGTATATAAAATGAATTCTTTCTAAGATGTTACTGTAGGAAACTAATAATAATAGTGTTGAATTTTCCTTTGAAAAGTTTTCATATTTTACATTTGATTCAAAAAAATTAGTTTGCTGTTAGGTCTATTTTATACTTTGTATAGGTCAAAAGCCATGTGCAAAATTAAAAAGCATTGCTCAGATGAGGCCACAAATTATCCTTTGGCCTGCTAAAAGGATGTGATGTTTTAACAGATTGTACCCAAAAGGGAAGAGTCATGAAAATGAAATACTTTGAGACAATTCATTGCATTCCAGCTGGAGAAAATGAGACCCGAAGTAAAAAATCTTGAATGCACTGTCTTTAGCAGATGAAAAAAAAAAAAAAAAAAAAACAACTGTGTAAGAGTTTGCAGAATCAAATAGCCAGCTGTCACACAGGGCCCCCGAGAAAGCATTGCATTGCTGAAAACTCCATTGCCTTACCTCTTCCTGGGAGGCAGTTTATAAACAGCCACCTCATCTAGCAGTGAGCCCTCTGTAGGGACTTCTGCTGGTCCCTGGAGTGTCTGGCTTACCATTCAGCATTCCTTGCACCCTGAGATGTGTGCATTGGCATGAAGGAGTGCTTCTCAGAGCCCCAGGGTGCGCAGGTGGGCCTGATAACAGAGGGTGCTCAGGCAGTCTGTCTCTAACCAGCCCCAGGCAGGTTGCTGCGAAACAGCCTGACACGAAGAGAAACCTCACCTGGTGACCAGTCCTCTGAATGCAAGAGGGGTTTTGAGGGGCCCATTCCAGATAACTTAAAAAATATATTTTTTTTCTTCTTCAGGCTTATGCTTATACTAAAAAGCTCTGGATTTATTTCAGTGTGCAGAACAGAAGGCAAGAATTATTTGCTGCTGCAAGTTAGACCTTGGATGAGTAGGATTATGTAGCTGTTTGCTGCAGTAGTTTTGGGGAAACACACACCTGACTTAAGCTGTATGAATTTGGATATGAATTTCCAGGTGTAAGATATGAACTGCAGGATTTCTATTAGTGTAATGATGGAACTCAAGCCTGAACTATTTATGTTTATTAAAAACCTGGCAGTTATTTTTTCAGAAAATGGAGATTTATGAAAGAGCTGAAGTCTGGGCTTCATTTTTTTTTTTTTTTTTTTTTCTGAGATGGAGTCTTGCTCTGTCACCAGGCTGGAGTGCGGTGGCACAGTCTTGGCTCACTGCAACCTCCACCTCCTGGGTTCAAGTGATTCTTCTGCCTCAGCCTCCTGAGTAGTTGGGACCGCAGGTGTGAGCCACCACACCTAGTTACTTTTTTTTTATTTTTAGTAGAGATGGGGTTTCACCATGTTGGCTAGTATGGTCTTGATCTCTTGACCTCGTGATCTGCCTGCCACGGCCTCCGAAAGTGCTGGGATTACAGGCGTGAGCCACCGCGCCCGGTGCTGGGCTTCATTTTATTTATCCATTTGCCTTGGGTGTTGCCAGATGGTTGATAAAGAAAATCGATACAGTTTTTAAAATGAGGACTCTCTGTTGTTTTCTTTAGATGTTGTTTTAAAGTAATTAGGAAGGAACCCAGTAGCCCTGCTATCAGTCTCTGGTTTCTCCTCCCCGTGGCTCTAGGAGCCACTGTTTCTCCTGCCTGACAGTGCTTACTCCTACCCAGCCTGTGCTGAGATGCCTCCTGCTGGCTTCAGGGCCTTTGTGTCCAAAATTTCGAATAAATGTATATTATTAATAACATAACTATTAATATAATAATTATAACTATAATAATGTATAATAATTCTTTTGAAACAGAGTCTTGCTCTGTTGGCCAGACTGGAGTGCAGTGGCATGATCTCGGCTCACTGCAACCTGTGTCTCCTGGGTTCAAGCAGTTCTCCTGCCTCAGCCTCCTGATGAGCTGAGATTATAGGCACCTGCCACCACGCCCAGCTAATTTTTTGTATTTTTAGTAGAAACAGGGTTTCACCATGTTGGCCAGGTTGGTCTTGAACTTCTGACCTAAGGTGATGCACCTGCCTCGGCCTCCCAAAGTGCTGGGATTACAGGCATGAGCCACCATGCCTGGCCAGCTGTTATATCTTTAATATGTTTTTTTAATCTCTAAATTAAATGACTTTTTTTGGGAGCAGTTTTAGGTTTACAGAAAAATTGAGTGGAAAGTACAGCGTTCTGATACACACTCCTCTCTCCTCTGTTATTAACATCTTGCTTTAGTTATAATTGATGAGCCAATATGGATACATTACTAATGAAATCTGTAGTTTACATTAGAGTTCACTTTTGCTACTGTGCAGTCTGTGGGTTTTGACAGATGTATGATGACATATATCTACTATTGCAGTATCAAAATGGAGTAACTTCCCTGCCCTAAAAATCCTCTGTGCTTTACCTATTTGTCCATCTCCCCCTTTCCAAGAACCCCTTGCAACCACTGAACTTCTTTATTGTTGTCATAGTTTTTGCTTTTTCCAGAATGTCATTTATTTAGAATTATACAATATGTAGCCTTTTCAGATTGGCGTCTTTCACTTAGCAATATGGTTTAAGGATCCTCCATCTTTTCCTGAGTCGATAGCCAATTTCTTTTCCTTATGGAACAACATTCCATTGCATGGATGTGCCACAGTTTATCCACTCACCTATTGAATAAATATGTGCATCACTTCCATGGGGATCTGTAAATGTTTTGGCAATTATGAATAAAGCCTCTATCAACATTTTTATTTAAGTTTTTGTGTTGTTAGAAGTTTTCAACTCATTTTGATAAATACCACAAAATGTGATTTCTGGATTGTATCGTATGTGTAGTTCTATAAGAAACTGCCAAATTGTCTTCCACAGTGGCTGTACCATTTTGCATTGCCATCAGCAATAAATGAGGGTTCCAGTTGCCCCACATTCTTACCAGCAATTGTCATCAGTGCTTTGGATTTTAGCTATTCCACAGACATTTAGTGGGATCTCATTGTCTTAATTACAATTCGCAAATGACATATGCTGATGAAGATCTTTTCTGTGCTTATTTGCCATATTATATTTTCTTTGGTGTTATGTCTCTGTTCAAATCTTTTGCCCATTTTCAGTTGTATTGTTTTCTTTCTTTCCTTCTCTCTCTCCTTCCTTCCTTCCTTCCTTCCTTCCTTCCTTCCTTCCTTCCTTCCTTCCTTCCTTCCTTCCTCTCTTCCTTCCTCTCTTCCTTTCTTTCTTTCTTTCTTTTTTTGTTGTTGTTTTGTTTTGTTTTTTTGAGACACAGTCTTACTCTGTTGCCCAGGCTGGAGTACAGTGGTGCAATATTGGCTCACCAAAACCTCTGCCTCCCAGGCTCAAGTGATTGTTGTGCCTCAGCTTCCTGGGTAGCTGAGACTACAGGCATGTGCCACCATGCCTAACTGATTTTTGTATTTTTAGTAGAGATGGGTTTTCGCCATGTTGGCCAGGCTGATCTCTTAACTCCTGACCTCAGGTGATCCACTCGTCTCAGCCTCCCAAAATGCTGAGATTACAGGTGTGAGCTACCATGTGTGGCCTATTGTTGAGTTTTAAGAGCTCTTTGTATATTTTGGATATCAGTCCTTTATCAGATATGTCTTTTGCAATTATTTTTTCCCAGCCTGTGTGGCCTGTCTTCTCATCTTCTTGACAGTATCTTTGGCAGAGGAGAAAATTTTAATTTAAATGAAGTCCAGCTTATGAATTATTTCTTTCATGGATTGTGCCTTTGTGAATCTAAAAAGTTATTGCCAAACTCAAGGTCACCTAGATTTTCTTCTGTGTTATCTTCTAGGATTTGTATAGCTTTGCATTTTACATTTAGCTGTGTGATCCATTCCTAGTTGATTTTTGTGAAGGTTGTAAGGTCTGTGTCTAGATTTATTTATTTTCGCCTGTGGGTATCCTGTTGGTCAACACCATTTGTTGAAATGACTGTCTTTTCTTCATCGTATTGTCTTGTCTTTTCTTGTTGTTGAAGTTGGGTTCTCTGATTTTGTTCTTCTCCTTTAATATTGAGTTAGCTATTCTGTTTTTTCTGCCTTTTCATATAAAGATTAGAATCAGTTTGTTAATATTCATAACTTGCTGGGATTTTGATTGGGATGATAGGATTGCATTGAATCTACACATCAAGTTGGGAAGAACTGACATCTTGAAAATATTGAGCCCAGCTATTTGTTCGCATGGAATATCTATCCATTTATTTAGATTTATTTCTTCAGATTTTTACAGTTTTGTTCATATGGATCTTGCACATGTTTTATTAAATTAATACCAAAGTATTTTATTTTTTTGATGCTGATATAAATGGTCTTCTGTTTGTGATTTCAAATTCCAGTTGTTTGTTGCTGGTATACAGGAAGGCAATAATTGACTCTTGTATATTAATCTTGTAGCCTGCAATCTTGCCATAATTGCTTATTAGTTCCAGGATGTTTTCTGGATTTTCTACATAGACAGTCATGTCATCTGTGAATGAACACAGTTTTATTTTTTCCTTCCCAATCTGTACACTTTTTATTTCCTTTTCTTCTGTTACCAAGTTAGCTAGGTCTTCTAGTATGATGTTGAATAGGAGTAGTAACAGTGAACATCTTTGCCTTGTTCCAGAACTTAATGGGAAAGCATCTAGTTTTTACTTGTAAGTATGATGTTAGCTCTGGATTTTTAAAAATAGTTGTTTGTCCTAGTCCATTCGTGTTGTGATAACAGAATACCACAGACTGGGTAATTCATAAAGAACAGAAATGTATTTTCTCACAGCTCTGGAGGCTGGCAAGTTCATAATCACTGTCAAGATATAAGCAAGTTCATTTGTCTGGTGAAGGCTGCTCTCTGCTTTAAAGGTGGTTCCTCTGGGTTGGAGAAAAACTGTCCTCACATGCAGAAGGGCAGAAAAGCAAGCTAGCTGAATGCTCTGTGAAGCATTTATAAGGGCTTTAATCTCATTCTTGAGGGATGAGCCCTTATGACCTAACTACCTCTTAAGAGACCCACCTCTTAGTACCATCACACTGGAATTAAATTTGAACACCTGAATTTTGGAGGGAACACATCTACACCAAAGCAGTGTTCTTTATCAGGTTGAGGAAGTTCTGTTCTTAGTTTGCTGAGAGCTAATGTGTTCTTTTTAATGGCTGCATAATATTCCATGGTATATATGCACCATAGTTTGTTAAAATGCAACATGACAAAATCATACCCTCTTTAACAGTTGTAATATTGATATGTTTGTTAATCATAGCACATGGTATGTGTATGGTGAGTGCTTAAGGGTACCTCCTTATTAACTCTTGCTGAGGGATATAAAGTTGGTGCCAGATTATGTAATGCTTTCAAAGCCATCCTAAGGAGTCTTGGATCAGAATGGAAAATGGAAAGAATGTAGATTCTGTGGTGATGAATACTTTGGGGAAAATAAGAGATTAGGTAGCTGATGCCTACATTTCTATCTAGGGAGTATAAATGTCCTGTGGGCCTTTGATCTTTGCCAGTGCATTTGGATTAGTGT